TCTCCCACCGCGTATAGATATTCGCGCTCGTTTGGTGCCCTTTTGGTTGGGATGGACGGTCCGAGTCTTTTTGAGAGTCAAGTTCAACCGAATCTTGAGGTCATTTAGCGATGGTGTTGAGTGAGACCCAAGTTCCGCTGTGACGGTACAGAGCGCGCCGATACTCGTCAAGGTAGAGTGCAGGGTTCCCATCGAGCAATTCAAGCATAAAGTCCCGGTCCTCGTCGGTCAGCTTGGTGTTCCTTCCAAGCTGCTCGTAATCATCGGGGTTGCGAACTACAGCGGCCGTACGTCGATAGAGGGCAAGCCATTGTGAAATGGTGCGCGGGCTGACTGGTGACCGCAAAAGCCGTCGAGCCCTAGCAATTGTCTTGCCTTCCCGGAGGTATTGGACAGCCAACACTTTGAGGCCAGGGTCGTACTTTCCCGGTCGTACGTTCTTGGCTAAAAAAACAAAACATGTCAGCCTTCAACTTATATGTGAGAAGTGAGGTAGAAGGGAAAGTGGAATACCTCTAGCCATGAGACGAGAGAGACGAAAAGAGTGGAGGAGGAGTCGTGGATGTGTAGGTGTGAAGAGTCAGAAATCTGAATGGTGAAAAATTCGAATCGGATGAGAGCCAATACCCCGGTCCGCAAGCAAGGTCATAGGGAGCCCTGAGCCACGGTTATGAGCATGCCTATGCTTATAACTAGCCCTGTATTGGCTGTACTAGATGGTGGCGCTTCTGAAAAACCGTAGGTGAGTTTTCGAACATGACACGAAATTCAGGAACAGCTGTAGTTTCCTACACCAGGTCCCCAGTCTCTGATTCCGCCAGTACCAGTCAAACTGGTGTCCTCCCTGGCACCATCGGCTCCTCCCAATCACGATCGACTTCCCCTCATCACTTCGTTACATCACTCACTGCCCACTTTCCGTCTCTACCTGTTTCATCTTAGGTATTTTTTTTATTTCTCAACTTTTCCGATCAATATGCCTCGTTCTCGACTGACTCATTTTGCATGAACTCATTCCAGACCATGACGAGAGTACGACCAGTACGACCTGGAAAGTACGATCCCGGCATCAAGGTACTGGCAGTCCAGTACCTTCACGAAGGCCTGAGTCGGCAAGAGGTTAAACACATGCTGCGATCGTCCGTCAGTCTGCGGACCATCACACGATGGAGCTCTTTGTACCGCCAAACCTACAGCGTCGTTCGCCACCCGGATGAATACGAGCAGCTTGGCCGAAACACCCGACTTACCGATGAACATCGAGATTTCCTGTAGACGATGGTTGAAGAGAACCCTACAATGTACCTGGACGAACTTCAACGCGCCATGTATCGAGAGTCTGGCAAATGGGTCTCCATTCAGACCATCGCCGAGGATCTCAAATCACGCCTCTCACTCAGTTGGAAGAAAACCCGAACGGTCCATCCAAACCAATGCCCCAACAAAAGGGCTGCCTTCTTATATGAAATGGGTGGATTGCGACCCGAAATGATGGTATTCTTAGGTATGTGTAGTTGTTTTCATCTGTAAAGTCTTTGATACCAACTGACGTTATTGTGGCATTAGATGAGTGCGCAATTCAGGAACGGAGCCTCCGAAGAGAAAATGGATGGGCATTGCGAGGATACCGTACCAAAAGAATCCCCTGGAGCCGAGGTGGAAAAAGGTTCTCTCTGTTACCTGCTATATTCAAGGGTGGTGTATTGGCGATGGCCTGCCAGGAGGGTAGTTTTCAACGCAAAGATTTCGAGAGCTTTCTCAAACACGAGCTCGTGAGTCACCCGTTCGAAATTTTTTATTGTTTACACGTTTTTTAACCATTCTTTCTCAGTTTCCGGTCATGAATCCATACCCGCAGGCCAATTCGGTTTTAATTATGGATAATGCTCGCATTCACCATGGTGGCCGAATAGCAGAACTCGCTGCAGAGAAGGGTATTCGACTGCTTTACTTACCGCCTTACTTGCCCGATTATAACCCAATTGAGAAGGCTTTCAGCGTCCTAAAGGCCCGGTTCCGTCGTTTGCAATGTCTTGCTTTCGCTGCCGCCGATGAGAAGATTGCTACGATTGAAAACTTGACTTGGCAGACTTTTACAGGAAGGCTAATGAATAAGTTATACACCGTTTGTGGGTATTGGTTGTAGCATAGAACTTTATACGCCTGTGGCACGTTGTCTTCCTCTTGTATGTAAGATTGTCTTTTGCCATGGGGATTTCGCTCATTGGATACTTGTCAATCAATCTTAGTGTTAGAGTGTGGCGCCCAAAATGAAAAGTCATAGTTTTGATTGCACTGCATGGCGACCCAATTCCCTTTCCAAGCAAATCGTACACGCACAACAAAGATTTCACTAGATTACAAGTTCAGAAATGAGACCCTCTAACATAGCGCATCATCACACTGCCATCGAATCACCACTTTAGATTCGAAAACGTCTACTATAGCGCCCAACCCCCCAAAAAACTTTCATATTTAGAATTCACCTGACTATATTCGACCCTGGTGGGTTAGAGGCTGATCACTTTGCCGCCCTGAACAGAAGTGAGGGTGTTAGCAATTGAAGTGACTCGGTGACTCACTTAGGTGAGTGATGACCACTCACCTCCGCCGTGTAAGACCCGCATACGACCTCCCAAAGTTACTCGATTTTGGACAGAGGGGATGGTGGGGGCGACTGGCGGCTGTGTTGTATCACCGGACTGTCGTCCATCGTCTTCTCCACGTCTTCTGAGTGGGATCCCGGCACTGCATCTGGTACGAGTTCAATGGCGTTCATGTCTACCATAAGAATCATAATACTCGGCAGAGCAGGAGATGAGTCAGGAAGAGGACTTACTCCCTTCGATGTCACCGCGTTCATCAATCAACATGATGTCGGCTGCTCGGTCACTGATTTCGTCATCATCTAAAGGATTGGAATCTGGCTCTGGCGTCAATTTGGCTCCTTGAGCATTTGGGCAGTGAAACATGATGCTAACCGGCATCCAATTCAGCGACCAATTGCGCCAGATACTCTTCATCTGAAGATGATACACCGGGAGATGAAGGAGGATGTACTGATAGACTTGAAACGTGTGGTACATATGAAGCTGGAGGATGGATCGTAGAAGTCGAAGGGTTCCCAGGTACAGTCATCGCCGTGGGCCCAGACCTGACTCGCGGCACAATGGGCTGAGTGTTTCCTCCTAACATATCTGTGCTGTATGTCTTCCCGTTTTTGACGCGGCGCCATTCGCCAAATGGTAACGCTGGCCGTCCTATCTTCTCCCCCGCGAGCAACTCGCCTTTCTTATGTTTGGCCTTCATAGGACATGAGAACTGACGGTGACCAAATATAGCACAATAATAACATTGGCCTTGACCGGCAAGCACGAAAGGGTGGGCATTTGGGGAGATGTCCAGAGGCAGAGCGTCGGACTTATCGCGATTAGAGAGTCGTTGATACCATAAGATGTCGGCAAGCGAGGGGTTGAGCATATCTTGTTTTAACATGATGATGATAAAGAAGCGACAATTTTGAGAGGAAAGAAATAGGGGGATTCAAGTGACAGAGGCGAAATCCAAACGAGACGATAGAAATAGGGAAATGGAGTGAGGAAGGGAAAAAGTGAGCGCTTGGAAATGTTCGATATCAGCACGATATCTTAACCAAAACAAGACTCTTGATTGTTTTGAAGAGGTCACTTTAAGCTTTTGGGGGTCTGATGCAAACTCATATCATTCACACGCCTTCGATGAGTCAATCGGGTGGCGGTTGCATGGAGATAGCGATATCAAGTGAAGGATATCCCTATTATCTAACCCTTTGAGCGGTATGTTCTCATTCTCACGATTGTACAACGGCGGTGGGGGTAAGGTGCAGAAAGTCGAACAAAGTTCATCAAATTTGCAGAGTACCATGTACGCGAGCATGTGCATAAGATGACGACTACAAACAACTATGTGCGAGTTTGAGCGGTTCAGAGTGGGGATGATAAACAAGAACAGGGGAGACAGAGGCACAGCGGAAACCAGTCCTCACACATTGGCCGCGTCAAGACAAGTGAAGGAAAGCAGAAGAAACGGGGTGAAAAGTTGGGAAGCGCTGGGTACATCCGGGTCATCGCAGACAACCAAAATCGTAATTTTAGCACCTTCAAAGAAACAAAAGGTTACCAATGTGTTTCTTGCATAATTGATGAGATCCCTTCAGATGGTGCTCTTTGACTTCAATGAGGCGAGGAATTTTGGAACAGCATTCCAAATATCATCCGCATGAGCAAAAGGAATACCAAAAGAGTGCAATTTTGAGATCGAGTAAGTCTCTTGGTCAAGGAGGCGATTGAAGTCGTTGATACCTTCATTTTTTAAAGCCTCGCGAGTCTTTTTCATGCCCAGTTGAATGCCAGCAAAAGTTAAAAAGCTTTTGAAAGAAGGTTGCTTGCCCCCACGGAGTGGAGATAATGACATCGGAGCCTTCGCGATAGTAGGTGAGGCTAGAGTGGTCGACAATGGCGGGCCATTTGCCAAGGTGGGTGTGGCAAAAGGGTTAACCGGGGGGATTCCAGGACTGGGAACTTGCCCGTAGTAATTATGATGAATAACAGTACCCGCTGAGTTCGCGCCCTGGGCATTTGCCCCAATCGCACCTCCAGGTTTACCCTCTAGCTCATCTTTGGCCGCTTGGTACTGAGAAACCGGTATCCATTTGAATCCAGGTCGTTCTGTAGGAGGATTGATCTCGTCGACGCCACTGACTTCGTCAGCCTACATGGTGAAGGACGTTAGTCAACCTGGGCTCGTGTGCCGTGATTGACATAGAGTCCAAAGACTTACCCAGTCTTCTGCCCAATCGCGTATGCGAGCAGTGTTAAGAAGCATGATTTGACTGGGATTCTTTGGATTGACCGTGGTTGCAATGTTCTCACCCGCCTTGAATTGGCTTTCAAAACGCTCCATTAGAAGCTTGTAGCATTTCTTCGCTGGTGACAGGTAAGTCGACTGCAAAAACAAACAAGCCAAAGTCGAGTTAGTCACCTGTGCACCAGAAACTTGATAGAAATTGTAAACGCTCACCCCTTCGGAGATCGTATCATTGTCATCAGATGGAGGTCCTGAACGCTCTTTGGTGGGCGGGGGCGGCGGGAAGGTGGACGCCAACGAGCGATTGGCTTCCTCACTGGTTTTAGGGTTGGTATGGGTGATTTTGAAACCCATAATCGCCTCCGTTGGGGCAGCTAGCACAGCAGTGACAAAATGGGCGAGGCTGGAGTCGTCAGTAATGAAGCTGTGGTACGCCTTGTGCTGGCGATTGGTCGAGTTGATGAATCCTTGGATCGCCAGGAGTCCAGTTTGTTCGGCGGCGATGAGGGCGTCTGAAATGCCGGCAAGTCGGGCGTTGTACGCGTCGAAAATCTTCAAGCGATAGACGGGCCAAGTGAAAGTTCCCACTGGCAAATCGCTATGAACGGGATAGGGCTTGAAATTCTTCCATTGGGCCTTGGCTGCCTTCGGAGTTTCCTTGACGGCATGACCACGAGCCTTCTTGGTTTGATTACCAACTGAGTCGGTCTCAGTCGCTTTGAGTTGGTACAGGTTGAACAAAATTTCGAAGGTACGTTGTAGAACTTATAACCCAACAAGGGTTATACAGAGCTGGAAGAGGATAATCCACTAATAAAATGACTAGTAGAAGTTGTCTAAGGACTGCTCTTCTAAAACAACACAATCAGAAAGAGCTCTGTTGTATTGAGTACTGATAAGGCACCAGAGAAATATATCTTCACACGTAATTTAACTTCAAAAGCACACTTTGTATTACTATCAACACTGCTATAGTGTTATTCCCAATTGATAACTAAAAGAAATAAGCAATATCTGATTGATATTATTCCCAATAAGTCTTTATGACTATAAAACTAAAGTAAATTTCTCTTTATAATTGTAATAAAGGGCGTATTTAAGTGACCAGGTACTATTAAAATAAGTTTATAATGATAAACAAAATAATAATGGCGTAAATGATAAAGAAAAAAAAGGGAACAACAGTCCCAAAACCCTCTCAAAGTATATATAACAATGTACTAGAACTTTTACAATGGTCAACAGCCTCAAAACCAATCAAATCCGCCCAAAATTCCCTAAAAACCCTATGATGACGCAATGTAATGATTTTGTTACTAATAAATGATGTAATTTTCACAGCTAAAAGTGATCAATGACGCAATAATATGATGTACAGCACTTCTTATGATGAATACAGGTGATTTTTTCCTTGTAAACTAGCTGAAAACCAATTTTTGAGATTACGAATTTTTTCAGATGTGCTCCAATTTTTGATTACTAAAGTGCATCTTGTAGCCCACGTGTTACTGATCATTTCTGACACCTACATGACCTACTTCTGATGAGTGATGAGTAAGATATTGAGTTGTGAAGTTAAAGTTTTTTTAGTGTTACATGTGACTTGTGACTGTAAATTCGAGATTCACACCAATTCTTTATTTGCCTTATAACTTTTTACACACACCTCCATTACTAATGATTTAAAGTTTGTACATTATGTAATCCACTCTTCTGCGTTGAATGAGCCATCTACCAACCTATTCTGACGTCATTTGACATATGTAATTAGCTGAAAACCTCCATTTTCCACGAATTTCACCCATTTTCTTCACTTTTCACAGCTACTACTCTCTTTTTCTTGCTCTTGTAATATGACATCATCATCTATAACCTTAAAAATCCCGAAAAATCCTCTTGGCAACCTTAAATTCCATCACTACCACTATTACACAACCAAACTACACGTGTACCTCTTGTTTACCAACTTCGAAAAAGTGCCTTTTCCCTAATAACTTCTGTTTCTACTTATCAACCTTGAAGATTAAAATTGTCATAGTATAATATAATGTTGTTCTTTCATATTCTAACCTCATAATACCCATAACTTTATTTTTACTAACCTAAAAACCATTTTCCAACCTTTATACTTATAATTTCGAATTTTTCTTATGTTTTTCTTTCTTTCTTTTTGTAATAAATTTGTAAGTAAACTATAATGATCTTAATATATAATGTGAAAATAAAAAATGATGTAATGTTGACCTAATGACCAATACATAAGCCTACAAGAGCTTCAATTGATCAAAAACCTCCATTTCGAATTTTCTTTCCTGCTGAATCCTGCTAATAAACTGGTAAACTGGTAATTGTGAATTTTTTAATTGATCCCATAAATTGATCACCACATCCTCCTCTTCTTCCAAACTGCCCCCAGTTTATCAATTAAACAATTCAATTAAACACTCCAAATCACTAAATTCTCGAATTTTCCTTTATTTCCAATATGGTCAACACTGTTTCACCTTCTGTAGCTTCACCTTGTGTCCAATGCCGGATGGTAAACTCCTCCTGCCACTATCAAATCAATCCTGCTTGCCAAAGATGCCATAATCTAGGAATAATATGCTGTAAGTCCAATTTCTTTCTTCTATTTCTTTCTTCTTTTCTTTATAATAAGTTTCAATGTTTTTTTTTTTTAATTCTTTTACTAATTTTAATTCTTTTCTTTATTTAATTTTAATAGCCTACCCTGCAGCGCCTTCATCCAATAATTCACCTGTACCTGATTCTCCTGCCAACAATTATCCTCCACCAAACACGCCTAATACTCCTATTAGAATAAATTTCCTTAATCCTTATAATATTAATTTAAACAACACGCCTTCAGCTCCTGATTCACCCAATCCTTCCATTACTTCATCAATTGAAACCAACTTCACCACAACTGATCCATTTTTCGAAAGATTATATGAACATAACCTGGCGTGGAAAACTGATTATATAACTTATCAGAATTGGCATTCTTGGAGGATCCTGGATGATACAATCAGACAATTCAAAGAAGCAGGCTTTGAAGTTCCAAATATAATTAATAATCACTACCATTTGTTGCGTGCTCATTCTATAGCTGAGTATGTTTCAAGAAGGGGTGAAGACGAGTGTCTAACTATAGCAACTTTTATTCCATTCCTTAATCATGCTGAGCGTGCAAATGCTGCTATTTTATCCCCCTACAGTACTCCTTCTACCAATCCTCCTAATACTGAACCTCCTCTAATTAATTATGTTAATAATAGTCCTCCTGCAATTCCTGCTGTAAATTCTCCTTATACTGATTATAATTATTCTGAATATACTC